TTTTGCTCTAGATTCAGCTTTCAATTCTGTTAAAAAATAATTACATTTGAGTTTATATGTTTGAAGGGTTTGGTCATTTGCAAAGCCCTCAACATCTTCTAAATTCATATAATATATGGTTATTGGTTCTTTTCTTTAATGGCATACTTATATGAACTACGAACATATAGATCCTACCAAGTGCACACAATTGGATTGGGAAAGGCGTTACAAAATCATTGAAGGCATAGCTCGTGGCCTTCTTTACTTGCATGAGGATTCTCGTCTTCGAATAATTCATCGTGATCTCAAACCAAGTAACATTTTATTAGATGAAGATATGAATCCTAAAATTGCAGATTTTGGCATGGCAAGATTAGTTGTAAGAGATGAAACACAAGCCAATACTAGTAGAGTTGTGGGAACTTAGTAAGTATTTAAAAAGAGAAAAACTTTGAATTGTTTCTTATACAAATAAATAGTCAAGCAGATTTGTTTGGTTTTGATTGCATGAAAGTACAAAGAATGGTTTTCTTATGTATTGCATTAAGAGAAAATACCAAAACATGAGTTTATCATTTTCATATTGAAATTAATATCATTGTCTTTGATATACATGCAGCGGATACATGGCTCCAGAGTATGCAATGCATGGACAATTCTCAGTAAAGTCAGATGTATTTAGTTTTGGTGTGCTACTTCTAGAAATTGTTAGTGGCCAAAGAAATAGTTGTTTTCGAAATGGGGAGAACATAGAAGACCTACTAAGTTTTGTAAGTATGAGAATCTATACCTACTATATTTCTTTCATGTGACAAATATTAAAAGTTCAAATCTTAGTTTGTTGTTTTATGCACTTGTGCATTTATAACCCTTTGCAGGCGTGGACAAGTTGGAGGGAAGGGGCAGGATTGAATCTCCTAGATCCAACTTTGAGAAATGGTTCAACAGTTGAAATGATGAGATGTATCCATGTTGGCTTGCTATGTGTTCAAGAAAATGTTGCTCATAGACCAACCATGGCTTCAGTTGTTCTCATGCTTAGTGACAATTTAATTAGTCTCACATTGCCCTCTAAACCTGCATTTTTTGTGCACAGCACCATTGCATCAAACATGCCATCCTCATTTGGGTACAATTCACGGGTACAAGACTCGAAGAGATCAGAGGAACAATCAGTCCCTTTGTCAAATAATGATGTTTCAATTACAGAGCTATGTCCTCGATAGTTTTTGAGATTCAAAGGTACAATTAGATTCATATTGTCAACCCGATTCAAAATAATGCTAGAATTCACTTGTTAGATGTATTGGTATCTGATACTTGTTTTTGTAAGAAAAACTACTTCCAATCACAAAAATACAGTATGTTTTGATTTGGGTATTGGTTTCCTTCTTGTATAATTGATACGGTGTACAATTTGGTATTGGCTAAATTCAAAAAATCATCTATTAACTTTCAGTTTAATTTCAGTTTCATCTATTATCTTTGAATTGTTTCAATTCTATTTATTATCTTTCACATTTATTTTATTTTCATCTAGGCAGTTAAAGTTAATAGAAATCTTAACGGAAATCTTCTTAAATTTAGTACTCTAACTATGTTTCTTTTAATCTTTTAATCCTTAAATTTATATTCACAGTAAAAATAATTTTTATTCTTATTTTGCTAAATGTGTTTTTCAGAAAATTATTTTACAGAGCAGACTGCATTCAATCCACCCTGTAAAATTATTTAAATACCCTTAATTCTATTTTTATATTATTTTTTCATGAACATTTAAATAATTTTATAAGACAGATTGTACACAGACTATCCTATAAAATAGACTTACCTATGAAATTTCTTATTCTAAACTTACTGAATTTCTCTGTTTGAATTACAATCTATCTCTATAAACTATTTTTTGATTAATCATATTTTATTAGGATTTAAGTGTCACTTTTTTAAAATTCAAAGGACTGCTCTTTCCTCAAATCTAACGGCAATCTAACGTGATTTTTGTACAGTAGACTAATTTGAAATATTCTTCAAAGTTTCTAGATCATTTAGAAATGAAACAAACTTTCTAGACTAAAATGAAATTAAACTGAAAGTTAGTAGATGATTTTTTGAATTAAGCCATTTGGTATTGGTTTCTTTCTTGTAAGCGAAACTACTTCCATTTACTGATTCACTGTAACATTTTATGGTCTTGGCTTTTTCCATCTCAATCAAATTGACTCGCGTAATGTTTTCATAAGCTTCATTTACTAGAAATTATGATTGTAAAATTATATAGAGAACAACAGTTTCTTGCTACTTCTAGTACACAAAGGAGAAGATGACCCAAAATCAGTTCATCACAAACATTATTCAACATGAAATTCAAGTCATGCAAAGAGGCATCGACAATATTTTGCTTTTCTCTTTCACATCGGAGATAAATCCAAATCTCTCTTACTGTTTCTCCATTTCTGTTACCGAGCCCAAATTGAAGTTTCTTTCAAGAAAATGACTCAAAAGTCCTAGGTGTTGGTAGAAAGTCCAGCCCCATGCATGTGAACACATGGATTTTTCATGTGGAAGTTTGCTTCACTAGCCTACAAGCCAACTGTGGGCTAGATTGCTTTGTTGAAATCATGCAAGATTACATGTTGACCCATTTAAGGCGCAAGAAAAATCATGCACCGGTGGTAATGAGGCAAAGAAAAATGGTGCATGGGTGGTTGGATTTTTCACTATAAATACCCATGCATGCAAAGGCAATGGGCAAGCAAGAGAAGGAGAAAGCAAGAGAAAGTGAGGGAGAGCTCTTGTAAGAGAAAAGAAAGAGAGAAATTGTGAGAAATCCTAGTGTAGATTAAGAGAGACTATTAGGAAGAATTTGGGAGCTTCTATATATTGAAGCTAGGGATTGAGAGCTTTTTGGTAAGAGAACTTCTAAATTATTGTACTCTTTTTCTTAATAGTAAATTTATTTCTCTCTTTTCTGTGGACGTAGACTTGTTGAAAGTTATACAAGTCGAACCACGTTAAATTGTTGTCTCAATTTTCTTTATCGCCTCCGTTTGCATGGAATTGTGGTGTTCGAAATTCCCAACACTAGGGAATGCAAGTAAAAAGGTGTTTGGAAAATAAAAATCCAATATAAAAGATATACTTCTTTTGTTTCAAATAATTCAAAGCTTTTATATTCATTAGCTTGTAGTTACATTTTCTAGCTAGGTTGTCCAAAATACATAAATCCTTGTTTTGGATGCTGCGTTTGGTGGATATATGGCTCTATAGTATCTTCTAAATGTGAATTTTTCAGTTAGTTAAATTTTATGTTTATAGCTTTAGTGTGGTAGCTCTTGAGATTATTAGTGGCAAAAAATCTATCTAAAAAAATGTATCTTAGTAATGGAGACGAATGGGAGAATCTTCTTACTAATGCAAGACATATGTAACCTTACTTTTGTTTTGTTGTGTTTTGGGGGTTAAATAATCATGCCAAGAATTATAGAAACTAAACCATGTAGATCCCATCAAGTGTGTGTTAACGATGTATCTAAAATTTCAAAAATTATGAAAAGTTAAGTGAGAAATTTTAAAATTTTAATTACCACTCATTTAAATTATAAGATGAGATAATTCACTTAAAATGATAAATATAAAAATTAGAGTCTTGGGATATGATTAAGCATGAAAGAAGGCGTATGCGTACCTCACAATTTTTGTGAAAATTATAATTGAATTCTCTTAACTTTGGAGTATTTTATATTGTGCGTTTTGACTCAATTCAAAAAGGGATTGATCATCTACAAAGAGTGAAAAAGATTTGGGATATTTGTGAAAAAAAAAAAAAGTATAAAAAATGATTGGCCTTTGTTGAAAAAAAAAATGAGAATTTTGAAAATTGTAATTTTTGATCGGATTAAATATTGAACTA